CAGAACCACAGCAATACATTCAATCAGTTCTCAAGACTAGTTGCTCCCCTGTCTAACACTGCATGCGTAGATAAATTACAGCATTAAACAGACTCGCCTTGATAACAATAAAATATTCATGTTCCATCTGCCTCTGGTAGCTGCAAAATCATTTTGCGCATCCGGGCTATTAGCTATGGCGTCGCTTATCTAACGCATAGCATTTAATCTTGTTGAGATAAACCATTGATCTTGCTTCGAAGTGTTGCCATAATGGTGTATGTTCATTGTTTCTCGGACTCAACGCAAAGGGCAGAAGAGGTACTCATGGGAATGCTGAGACTCCAGAAAGGAGATATATAGCGGCATGTGAGCTGGTAGCCCCGCGATATTAATATATCGAATTGTTAAACAAAAGTCAGCCAAACAGATATGTCACGCACCATTTGGAGCTAGACCGGATTTTGAAAAGATTACGATAGTATCTAGAGCAAATGATGTGCTTGTTACGCGACTAGCCCACTTTTCGGCGCGTTGAATTAAATAAACTTTTTAGGGGAAGCTTATTTTCTAAGGGAAGTGGCGCGGCTATTTCGCTGCACATGATAGCAGATGCCATCAATTTAATTATTAATGCAAACTTTCGTAAGTACAGAACACATTATGTCTGAAACTCTGCCCCAAATACGACTCAACACAATTCTTGATTTCATGTCTATCGTTAGTTTAAGATGAAATTTTGCAGACGACGAGATCATGCATGTCTTTGTTGTCAGGTTGTGCTGGCTTTTCAAGCTTTGGCAGCGTAAACAGTTGGAGGCAGATGTTTTCTCGGCACCGGCAGGGCTTCTTTTTGTACTGCTTCGTTAAGAGTATGACCTGTGGATAAATTCTGCGAGCGTAAAACCCATCGTGGATTAGACAGTACCACCGTCGCAGCGTAGCTTGAGGAAGTGGCTTTGAATCGGCCGTTTAGTGACGCAAATATAGTTCACTGACATGGTATGGCGTAATCAAATTTCACCAATCGTTTTCGACAATTTGTCAGGCAATGCTGGGGTTGTGACTGAAGAAGATGGTTTGTGGATAGCAATGAGTGTCACATGCGTGCACATGTTTCAGCCGATTTGCAATCATAACGGCTGAATATTGGTGGCCTGCGATACTTTGGCCTCTGTCACTTGCTGTTATTTGCTATAACGTTTTTGGTGGACATGAAAGCGTCATCGCGTTTGAGTATCACTAGTAGTAGAGGCGGCATGCATGAAGACTCAGCTCATCACAAGGACCAATTTGATATGAACTGCGAGCTTGTCAAGTTTATATTACACCTGCTTCAGCTGTAGCCAATACAAATCTACAGAGATCATGCTTCTTTATGCACAATTTCGTCATCACCACGTCACTTACAGCAGTTTCTTCTTTGCCGAGTGAATCATCGAGGTAAGCTATAAGCTGGGCGTCACCAATGTTACTTTCGACAGTTCATAGCCTAGGTGACGCAAACGCATATCCATGCCGCCTTGGCAAGCAGTAGCTGTGTACAGCTATACATTAATGCTATTCATAGCATAGTATCATTTTTTATATACTTGAGTTTTGTATTGCCATGTTTTGGTATTTTTATGCAATTTCGTACCATATTTATACTAACCATATCATCGTACTACATTTTGATATTTTGAGCATTGTTATACCATGTTTGGGTATGCACGAGCAATGACGAGAATGACGTGTGCCACGGAAACCATCTTTTTAGGAATTCCATCATCATCATAAATACCGATTTTCCGGTACTTGTGATATTCACAGTAGCCACTAAAGAACCAGTCGTATCTTCTTTCATTACGTCTAGTATAGCCTCAGATTGTTGTACTGAAAAGCTGCTTGGCGTCACAATACTAATCTCAAACCCAGCATTTAATCTCAACAAAATTATCACTGCATATCCTAGATTCCTCACCAAATTACTTACCTGAGCGCATAATTTGACAGCACGCCAATTCGGATGAAACATCTGTGACCGACTTCCAATAACATTTAATGCAAATAACTATAATCGAAGTCACTCACCGGGCCCGACTCATCACCTCCGCCTTTCCTATAGGCTACATGGCGTTGCTGCTCTTCTAAATAACGCATATCCAATCTTGGAAGCTTAAACATTGAAAGCGTACATGGTCACCATGCATGAGCTGTGTATTTTAAACTAGTTTCCCAAAAATAAGGATTGGCACGCTGATGATGACGACGGCCACGTTTATAGTAAGCTTTATCGTAGTCATTTTTCGACTTCGTGTCGACAAGCACACGAGTCATGGCGTCCTTCATTTAAGTCTCTGATGTCAATATTACATCGAATGTATAAGTGTGATGCGTAAGTGTTCAATCAATCGGACACCATACTAGAGCACCGATAGAAGGCTTGACGTTTTAAAGTACAAATGGTAACATTGAGATCGCTCGGACACCCCCTATTCATCAGTTCGTGTTAACATTACTCACGGTCATACTCATTAGCCTGCTGATACAGCAGCCAATCCGATCTTGAATTTGTAACAAGACCAGGTAGAAGGAACAATTTTCGCCACACAATAATACCACTAAATCGGGAGGAGTGAAGGCATAAGACATACTGAAAAGAAATTTTGCTAGCCATTGAAGTGTTTTCTAACATGAAGGCATCTCTATTGATGCATCAAGTACTCGTCATTCCTCTGGCAAAATCTGACTGAAAGGTCGCTCTACATGGATGTGGATTTCGCCTAGTATCGAGCAGACAACTCTTATGTAGCTGACATTTCATTGGCATTAAAATGAAGGAGGCACTTCAAATCTCTTTGAAATCCTCAGCGCGAGTCTTTTGCAATGGTCGGTTGTCTTTCTAAAGCACTCTTGAAGGTGCACGTCAGGACAATTGGTTTGAGGCAACTCAAGCGGTTTAAGCTCCGATTGCGGCTTGAGCACAGAAGGTAGCTCAACTTCAAGGTCTTCCTAGAAACTACTTTGATTTCGGGAGACGCTTCGCGTCCAGATTAATTAGACCGAGATCGCAATATGGCTTATGGAAGCCTACAAAAAAAGAATACTAAATAGGGAGTCTATGAGTATAGTCTGACCAATCTTATGATATGAATGTAAGGGGTCAGACTTTAAACGGGGGCAACTTTTTCAGAGCCTACAAACAGATAGATGAATGCGTTTAGTTAGAAAAACTATTCACATTAAACTTAAATGTATTTGCCTTCCTTTGACATCCTTATTCTACTGTTTTATGTGTCGAGGTTTAGCCATAGCGTCACTTGCTTGGCGCACGACGTCAATTGTCTGTACATGACAATTAACATATTATACTTGGGCTGAAATTCGACAAATTTATCGTTTGGGAGTTAATAAACCTTTATTAGATGTGAAGGGACACGATTTTACCCATTTATATTTAAAATGGCGCGGAGCCTGTCGCTCTAACGACATTACCCAGCGTCAACAAAATGACATTACCTTAAAAACTCCAAATTATAATCTAGCTAACCACTAACTGTGCCCATGACAAAATATACTGAAGTTGAACACAGTAAGTTTTTTTTGTTTTTGTACGGATAAAATTGCTTTAAAAGGGATTGATAGTTGCCTGTTTCTGTAACTCACTGCGAGCTAAGATATGACTCATACTTATGTGAAGCCTTCGCGTCGTCGACCAGTTTCTTTTTAGGTTAATTTGCCACCTAGAGTGCAAATACGTTCACCCTATTGTCGATGGTACTTGCTACGGACATCACTCACTATTGTTAATCCTATACGTTGAAGTCTAGGCAAGAAAGAAGGTTGATGACGAACCTCACGGGGTCGCCCTGAAGGAAGCAAGAATTCAACCATGCCTTCGGATCGCAGGACAAATTGATGTTTTATCCCTATTTTTTAGGGCACCTCAAGGGGGCACCAAGGGAAAAACATGGTGTGGGCATTCTCTAGGAAAGCAGGTTTGTTCAAGACTGTCATTGTTCATCCTCCTCACTACTACAACTTGATAATCGAGCTTTTCCAAGTATTTCATTCACCTCCTTTAAGTGCGACTTCGTTTTAATATCACCTCTTGTCAGTGACGCTTAGCCTCATAAACATAGTAGTGCTCGTCTGTCTGAATCTTCTGTCTTCTAAAGGCGGACGTGAAAGTCGAGCAGATGATTATCTCAACTAAAGCTACTGTTCAGAATTGGATCGCACCATGATCACATGAGTAATTATCTTATAGTTATACTGCTGCACTTATTGTTCTTAGTGACACGCACTGAAGAATTTAGGTTTATAGGATGGCTGTCTTACTAAGGGAAAGTTGAGAGAGTCAAGAAATAATTGTCATTTTGTTGCCAAAATCTACGAGAAAATTATGAAGAACTAAAAGTTGCGCGGACATCGTCACACCATATTCAGCTCGGGCGACAAAAACGGCACTGTAGTCAATCGAGGCCGAGGCGCGCCTTGCTTCTACTTTGTAATTTACGAAAAAAGCTTAAGCCAGCCCTGCAACAACCGCTCCGCTCGGTTGTATGCCACTGACTATTTGGAAAGAGTGCTAAACTTTATGAACAGTAGAAAACAGTTTCCAAAGCACAAAGGCAAACGTATATACAGCAGTCAAATACGTTGTTACCAGCCCATGAAACATCAAGTTATGTCACGTAGAAGATATGCCCCGCTGTGTGACAGAAATGGGTTGATGATCTTGAGCAGTCGATCCTCTTAACCTATGAGTATGATTACAACAAGTGCATTCCATGAAGGCCGATCTGTCTTTGTTTGGAAATGCAAGATCAGTAACCCGAGTTGCAGCTCGTACCGTACGGGCTTCATGCCCTGTGGGTGCACAGGACATGAGGTTCGTTTATTGAGCAATTGTGACTGTATCACAGATCGGTCGATCATGAATACAACATCCTCATGGAGACATGTATGAAGAAAATTAAAGCAATAATTTAGGATTATATGACAAAGTTAAAGGCTTGTAATTGCGAGAAAAACTTCCAGTCGTTAGACCTAATCAGCGTTATCATGCTCAATCTGCCTCGATAACAAGATGTAAGTCAAGATTTAGGAAAATAATTTGAAAATGCTTGATGAAAATATCACGGCTCGTAAGTTTTAGAGTTTGCTCATTACTTGGAAGTTAGCCAATAAGGAATCTCTTAAAACAGCATCTAAGTCTTGTGAGTCAGTTGGTCATAACGGCAAGAACACGAGCACCAAGAAACTTGACAAAGGAGAAGTCTCTCGTAAAACTGACCCTACTTGTTACGTTCGACTAGCGAGACGTCACGGAGCAGAGCAGAGGAAGAAACGACTAGAGCTAAGATCCCAACGGGAAGCTCGAAGAGTCGTGAAATGAAGGTCTTGAAGAGAGGCGAGGGTTCAGCAGGGAGCCCGAGGCAAGGATTGAGGAGTAGACGTACTCCGAAGGAGGTAAATTGGAAAGTGAGTTTGAAATGGTTAGAGGTCTACGAATCCTGGTTCACTAAACACCCTGTAGCTAGCTAGTCCAGTTCTTATCTCTTACACTAAGTATTAAAGATTCTTTAACGTACTTGTAAAAAATCTTGACAGTTCGATAGGATAGGCACCGATAGCGGTTAACTTTCACTGGGGCGTGAAACGAACCGTAATTCATACAATTTTGAATATGAAAAGAATGCGTATAGTTGAAGTTGAATTCAAACGACAACGTAGAGCGCAAACATGTTGTTGCTCCAGTCTAGCACGTGCCAGGCTGGCCACTGAGTGGCTAGTTGAATTACTAGCGTGACGCTATAGCATCGTTACACTGCTGCTTTAAGAAAATTGGGTGTGGCATCAAAGCAATCAGAAGGACCACCTAACACCAGATTTTTCTGGATCGAAAAACTGCATCAGCGGTAAGTTCGGTGCAATACAAGCTTTGAGCGATGTCAACCAGCAAATAATATGATTATCCAGTCTCGTATTTCGAATCGTATTTGATAAAATGTAGCTCGGTCTTGAAATTGGAATTGCAGAAGATGCGGAAAACACCAGAGATTTATCTCACTCTTGGATGGATTATTTTCCGTTTCGCGAGACAGCACCAATAACGTTTGAAGTTCCACATTGTTAAGGAAAGTTTTTTTTTTAAATACAACTTCCTGCTGATAAAGACGAAATGTTGTGTATAAGTTATTTTCGTAGGGGAAAAGCCAGAGATTGATTGATTCAATATCAGACTCTCGCTTTTTCGCCGCGAAAAAAATCGACAATCGGACCGGCTTTTGATTATCGACCCAGCGACGCTACCAGCTGTCTTAAATACGAAATACGTGACAGCCAAACTCCAATAATTATAAGCAATTGTACAAATTTTACATTACACTTTCATGATATCAGATGTACCAAAGCATCGAATCGTACACAGCTGTCATCGGGGATCCTGCAGATCCTGATTATCGTTTGATGAAGCAATGGCACTACCGGGCGAGAAAATATCGACCACGCATCCAATTTTGGGTAGGACGGTACGTCATTTGATTTCTGTGACGCACTTGACGATTTCGACGCGCTCACCTAAAAAAAGCGAGTGCGAAGCACAAATGAGCGAGTGTACTCCTCATCCTGTTGCTGAATATCTGTGTTAGACGAGCTAACAGTATGTGGCAAGTTGTTTATGCAATAACTGCTTTTGTCCCGTTTCTTTGACCTGGCAGATGGTTGTTAATGATTGCTGACGACAGATAGCGGTATTACTGCCACGACAGAGCGTACTTTATGGGGGGGCTCTGGGAGTGGCTGGTTAGTTATATAGGAATAAGTCGTTTGAATCCGCACCGCACCAGGGCTATGCTACACCTTATTTTGGCGATGTATTCGCTCATAGTTGTGCAGAGCATAGTTAATCAAATTTGGGAGCCATAATAACTCTTGCGGGTATTGTTCGTGTGTAAACATTTCAACAAGCTGTTATATTACATAAACATCTACGGCTTTGGTGATGATAAAGACTTCTTTCTCGTAGACCACATTATGATACAGAGCTCGCGGGTAGATTCCTCAAGAATCAACGCCATTTTTTATTAAACAGCGCTTCTGTTTCTGAAGGTCTTTGAGAAGAGGCTTGGGTCGGACGACTGCATGCACAAGTATAATGCAAAATCATACCGACGCGATTTACTTATCAAAAATTGAGGCTGTTTTGGGGCGCGACGAAGAGGCTATGTTCAAAACTGCGACCGAACTTCGCATACGCTCTCCGATTCTGACCCATCGGAATCCTCATCGTCAGTATGATGATGCCATTGGTATAGGTGGTGATGTATTCCAAGCATATACAAATGGACATGAGCGCGGAATTGCATCCGAGTCCGATTAGCTTTAAGTGGCAGAGAAGAGCGACGATGATGACTACAGAATAATATTTGCAATGTCGTCTGCCTTGTCAAGTTCTGAAAGCAGCTACATGCCTCTAAGCTGCATGTGATGTAAAAAGATCATGCGTCGTTGCGCAAAGCTTCAGACGATGGCGTGATGTGTATCTTTCATATTTATGAGTTTCTACTTTTCCTAGCGGTGCAAAATATTTCTGTTCATTTAGTGCAAACATGGACTATTCAGCGTGCCTACTTGCACCTGGCAGTCTGCCCCGCCTTTCGTAATAATAAGTATAACCGTTTTTTAGAGGTTTCTGATGGCTCTTGATGTGAGTCAGGCAAAAACCTTTCGTGGTGTACCCTTCTTATTAGAAAAATATTTGCTTGCGTTCCCAACAACACAGAAGAACATTACAGGTGTCACGATCGTCATTCAGTACCTTGAACACTGCGTTGAGACTCTCAAAGGCGAAAAGTGCGTTATCTTGCGCAAGTCAGTCAAAGTCACTTTGTCTATTGGTGACAGACATTCAATCGTGAAAGCAAATTTTTCAAGCGATCCATCACATCGCTGAGCCAAGAACGATGAAGATTTTTTTGCTGCTCTTTCGGTTCAATAAACTTCTTATGCGAAGTGATATTTTTGAAATCTCCCCTGAGCAGCTCGCTGGATCTACTTAGAAAGCCAGGGTTCATCGAAACGAGTTTTTCCCGTGTAATCCAAGTATAGTTCTGAACTATGCCTTGAGATTTAACTTTAACGCCAACCCTCGTGTAAAAGCGCAATGCAAGCGTGGTTCTCTTGTAGGCTCAACCACCATCTAGCCAGCTCCATAGCCATATTCATAGACGTTTTGTCCATAGCTGAGTTTCTTTAGACACCCGCACCCTGCTTCTCAATTTCAAATCTGTAGTTCGTACCGTGTGTAAGCATTTGATTTAATAACTGAGACAAGTCTGAAAATCAAGAGCTATAAGCTTTTGCTTGCCGAGAGTCGGCTCACGCTAATCTACGCAATGGTGAACGACATTATAAGGCATGACAAATGTGGGTGCAGATGCTTTCTTGAGAATGCGGTTTTTCGACTAAAGACTCCCTTAACTTCATCAGACTGCTATACGCAAAGGCGGATGAGCAGTTCTGTCCGATTCATGACCTTATTGTGTGCTTACTTTAAAAGCGCGATTCGATCACGACCAAAGTCAAGGCCGCGTGCTCTGCGGGTAATTGTAACTCTGATTACGAGCTGCGATTTTTTTCGGCTGCCCCTGATTGCACATTAAGAGCTGTGATCCCGGATAATCTGCAGAACGACCGCAATGATTGGTTCCATTACAATCTTGGATATGCCGTTTTGAGTATCAGCTGAAGATAATGGGATATCCGAAGAGCTAGTTCTCCATAGAAGCTTTAACGTCAAGCATACGAACAAGAACTTACATAAAAGAAGGATTTGCCCAAGCTGAAAGACAAGACTACGGCATCTTATCGTTCATGTAGCTCAGATTAGAAATCGTCCACGCTAACCTGGCCGGCCCAAACGCCGATGGCTCCCATACAATTAGGACTGTTTTTGAATGGGCACAATCAATTGAGATCGATGTCCAGCCCGAAAACCTGTCTCTAGAGATTTCAGCGTTTTTCTACCAAAATTAGCCCAGCTATTAACTTTTCTATCTCAGGCAGCCCCCGACTTATGACCCAATATACATACTGTAGGTTCCAAGGGATCTTCAGTCCTACGGAAAAGAAGTTCATCACGTCTAGGTTTGTATAATCACAACAGAGTTCATCACATCAGCGAATCCGCAAGCCATTGTGATATACGAACGTATACAAATTAAGCTACAGGATACAGGATACCATTCACTGTTACGGAGACGTTGATTGAAAACGCTCTCAATGAAGCCGTTCTTGCCGTCAGCCGAGTTGCTACAACATCTTGAGCCAGTCTTCGGTCAGATTGTGATTGTGTATGGTCAAGACATGCTTACGCAACAGCTGTTGAAATTACATGTCCAAGTGCTGGCTGCACGCGATTTGAACCGATAATCATCGTGAAATTGACAATTGCGCCATGCATTTGTACAAAGTTAAGTGACTTTGTCAAGAATTGTAGTTCTGAAACGAGACTGCGTGCTGGTAACGGTCTGAACGCGATCGCTAATTCACGGTACAAGGGCTCGACGACACTACAGGTTATCATTCACCGCATGTCCCCACGGCAGTTAGCTTGTTCTTGGGCAGTCTAACATCCCTAGTTGCATAGGTGGGTACGAACAAAGCCAGTGACGTCAGCTTATGCCGATGTTGGCAAATCTTATCTAACATAGGGACCAAATATTAGTGTGTACGATGGCTGCGTCAGTATCAACAGACTAGCAATATTTCGTACGCCCGCACAGTAGCAAAAAATATCCGCAGGAGTTAGTAACTGTCTGCACCAGCCAGCTAAATCTTTCTGGAACAAAGCTCTTGCCTTCAGCCGCCGAGTTCATTCAATTAACTCTCTCCTCTTCACTCGCATATTTAACTCCCACTCAACGTGTGGTTCTCTCCAGCAAGATTCAGTGGATAAAGACACATCACCTTGTGGGTGTCTCATCGTTTTTGTTGCCGCGCACACAAAGTTTCGGTGACTACGAGTATTTTCTGTGCCGATATAATTCATCGCAGTGGTGTTTTCTATAGGGAGTTTGCAACACCTAAACAAAAAGACGCGAAGCAAAATCACAGTTGTATATGGCTTGTTGTATCCAGATACAACTGTAATCACGCCTAGAAGGTAGAAATTTTAGTTAGACAATTTCAAAAACTGTATCGAGCTCATGTTAAACGCTGCATCATAGCCTCACCTATGCTAAGAAGATATACACGGAATAATGCACTTAAAACGTTCTCCATCTCTATGCATTTGAAGCAATGTAATTTTAGCCATTTGGCAACAAAGTATCATCTACTTTTGAATCACTAATGACGAGTCTTTCGATGTAATATTAGTCGCTCTCAACATTTTGGAAGTTTGTTTCTCTTGCCACCTGATCACACCACATTTTAGACGAGTAATTTTTTTAACAACATAACGCCTCAGGCAAGCAATTAAAGATGCACTAAGACCAAATTTCATGACAACGTATTCGGGAGAGCATTAGTTGAGCAACGTCCGTTAGTGTTTTGTCTATCAGCTCATCTGTACGTGTCAGCTATGACACCAGTAGGTGATATGATCATGCCAATCAGACAGAATGGGCGCAAAGAGCACGGCAGAACCGTAGTAGCGTTAATTTCAGTGCGAATAATTACCGCAACAAGCCTTCTAATATTTTTTTCATCAGGTAATAACTGCCTGCCATTATCACCGCAAATTAAATATCGCGAGGGAACTGTGCCGCCCACAAAGCATCAAGAAGTTGATCTATCAAAGCTTAATAAAGCCAGATCTTCGGCGATACGAGCTCTGCTTCACCTGTGCTGCGGCTGCGGCTGCAACGACCGGTATACAGACCTCTTTCTGCAATCTTACTACATTACAGCGACAGGTCTAACTGCAACCTATGGGCAGTCCTAACACAAGAAGCAACACCCGAAGCAATATGCGGCGTTCGAGTATATATTCGAGATAAGGTATTGGCAGCGTCAGTTTTATGTGGTAGCGAATGCGCGTTCGTCTGTAAGACGTCTAGCGCCACGATGTTGTCGTCGCCGGTCGAAAATACCGTAAATAAAGTTAACGGTTAAGACGCACAATGCATTTGAACACAAGGGATCAAATATTCAAATCCCACTTAATAAATGCGAAAGGCTGCACGTCATTGCCTCAAGGATTGCTACTACAATTAATGTGTGATGGTACCTCATTTAAGGACCCCGGACACACTTTCCGCACGAGGTGGATGATACGCTTTTGAAAAGCCAGCTGAAAAGAGAACAGATACCGTGCGATATATTTCTGGCTTGATACGTATTAATAAGAAATTTCGTTGGGGTGACACGTGGCAACGGAACAAAATCGCCCTATGTATCGGCGCCTTTGATCAGCCTGTTAAATCCGGTTGAGTACTTCAAATCGTATTTCGCTTGGTCATTCTCAGTCTTATCAAGGTCAGGAGTTCTCCTGCTTCACAGCCACACATACCGGTCATACATGTCAGTCCAATAACATTTGTGATTTGAATGAGCACGTGATTGCCATGTACAAAAAATGTTGCAGTTGAAATGTTGGTGCACCTAAGCGAATTTTGCACATGCACCGTTGTCACACTTAGATTATAAAGCAGTAAACAACATCCTCCCGTTAGATTTCTCGATATTAATGTTATTGTAAGATCGTACGAATTTCGCATCATTGGAATTGTTGCGAAATTATGCGTTGTGGGAAAAAAATAAAGCATACGTGCTCTCTAAAATGAATAAACTCACAAACATTCTGTGTGATACAGAATGCTGGTTCCTGCTTGGGGACCTATATTGGAGACGAGTCCGGCGTGTCTCGGTCTTTCGAATTGGGTGGCGTAAACCAGTTGGTTTTACTGGATACTTCACGAAAGTTTAAGCTCAAGCTTTTGAATTTTAAGCTCCTACACCCAGGATCATGTATCAGTTGAAGCTGAGGCTCAACCTCAGAACACCCTTGATTTATAAGTCAGGAACCCCCAAGGTTTTTTCAGTAAAATTTCCAGGAGTCCTTGGGGTGTTTTGCATGTAGCTAACAACCATAACTCATTTCAATTCATTAGCAAATTTGCCTCAAAAACGGCTTAAGGCGTTCCTCTTCCCTCCAAGTCGTGACTGTCCCTCTCCCTCTACGTCGTAAATCGCTTCATCGGCGCACAAGCGTGTGTGCTGTTTTGAGGGACTGTTTGTGAACAGCGCTCGCTTACACTTCGCCCCGCCGAAGCTGACGTGTACCTTCTATTAGACACAATAGTTGCCTCAACGTCATTTTTACTGTTAATGTCAGGATAGATGTGATGTGAACGAGTCCTTCTTCTCTTGCTAGCTTTACAGCTTTGTTCATAGTAAGACAAGCAAAGGTAGTTCGAAATATTTTACAGCAACATAACAAACAACACAATAAAGCATAACAGCAAGCAACATACCAAGAAGAAAAGACAAAATGACCTGGAGTCGTCTCAGGCAACACTGACATCAGTATCATGATATGCGGTAGGCTCACCGTAAGATTCCTTGTTGTCGGCCTTATCTTATCTTTCTCTTCTTGGCATCGCTGTCTTTATCGCTGACCTTTGCCAACACCTTCTTCTTCGGTGGAGTCTACAGCGTGTTTAGAGGTGATAGCTTTTTGGTGTTCGCAAATGTGCCTCCTGTGGTGCCTGGAGCACTGTAAGGGTATGATGCTGTAAATTTGTAGGAGACTGTTGCTACAACTTTGGCCGCGGTGTCTTCTGCGGCAACTTTGGCAGTAGTGTTTTGCTGCTGTGTCGTCGTCGCCTCTATCCATCAGACCCTGCTAGTCTGCAACTTTGTTGACAACATATACAGAGTAGCAAACGGGGCATTGGTGTAGTCAACGGCTTCTACAGGGTTAAATTGTAAGACGGTGAGCTGCGCAATGCAGTCGAGTCGCTTGCGGTCTACGCAAATCCGTAACGCATTTCAACGAAACATTCCATGCTCAGATACTGGTGATTATCGCAATGCCAGTGGCTTTTCGACCTCACCCATGTCTTCGCCTGCGGTGGCGCTTACTTCTTATGTCGGCACGAGCGGCGTTGACATACTCGGCAATGCTGCCGCAACTTCCTCCAATCAGAGGCCACTTTGATTCGTACTTAGAGGAAGGAGCTAATTATTTACCCAGCAACGCCAAGATTTCACAGATTCAAAATGCCATATATTTTGTATTCAAATGTTTGGCTAAGAGCACTGAACGGGGTGCAACTAATGATGCTGTTTTAAGGCCATTTATTTTTCAAAATGGCGATGGAGTAAGACGGCTATATGCATCTTAACTACTTTTATCACAATTTTCCACGTGCCTATCGAAGTGCAGACGCAAAGAGTCGGCGCCGAGTCGTAAAGTCTTTTTTTTATTTCGCACGAAAAAGCGTGATGCAATATTTAGTACCATGAACCAGATAAAATTCCTCATGCTACCACTTTCTGATGTTTTTTCCCATAGCTTGCTTTAAGTTCGTTGCGAGTGTCCCTTACCGGACTCATTCAGGACATATGATACGCTCAATTTATCCTTCTGTATTGGTCGTATTAACTTGTTATCTCACCGTCTTGCGATTTACTTCGAAGTACTACTTGCATCCGCAAAGTATAATAATTCACCATAAATGGGAGAGGAGACTGATAGCAATCAGGACTATACTGCTCACTCCAAATACGATTGAATCAGCTTCCTCGCTGCTAACTCGTGGAGCCTTAAAGCAATCGCGTGATAAAGTATTTCTGACTCAGAAGTATCATTGCATTGTGACGAATATATATCATCCTTACAACGTCCCTTTCCACACGCGACTTACATTCGCCTGTCTAAACATTGTATTACTCTGAAGACCGCAATATCAAGTGGCTTAGAATCTTCTCCACAGTATGGAGCCTCGCTCTTATCTGTTTCACAAGAAGTAATCCCTAAGTTTTCCAGCTTAATGTTTCACTCATCTGTTTAATCACAGACACACTATGGAGACCGCGACATACCGTCACTATTTCCTGCATAATCAAACGATCGCTACTTTCCGTCTTACTTAGAGCTTGGATATAATAACAACAACCCCGGAATACACTGAAATTATTTTAAGTGTTACAGTTATAGCCCTTGTGGAGTTTATAGCTGCTGCAACAAATCAAGACCCAGTCGGTTACAAATTCTGATCTTAGCTAGTTGAATAAATAATCCTCTTTAACCGGATTATTGAAGTTTTGCGCAAATTGCTTGATAATACATGTGACACCGGCTCCACAAAATCTATTAACAATTGTTGTAGGCTCAAGATGCAGACAGTGCGCAAGGCCTTATCTTTGTTTCCTTGGCTCATATCTAGCGCCAGCGGCTTGCTATTAAGCAAAGGTCACCCAGGCACTGGCTGAGTACGTAAACAACATGTGATCGACATGTTTGTGAAAGTAATATCTGTGTGATCTCCAATTTTTACCGTCTTCGGATTTGGTCATGTGCAAACGACACCAAGCAGGTCAAAGTAGAAAATAGACGCTTCTTTATTAGAAAAAAAAGTTGATGGTAGCAAGTCTGAAAATTCCATTGGTTATGATAAGTTGCCAAAGACAAACGGCAGTTTTGCATAAACACAGAAGCATCGCGGATAAACGGAAGCTGCGAAGGCGAGAATGTGGATCGCTCAGTAGTCATTAAGTAAACAGGCCGCGTTGAGACCTGAAATCGAGACTGAAACTAGGTTTCGGAAAAGAAAGTTACACCAGAATAAAGTGCTTGAGATTTTCGTTTCCCGTGGACTTTCGAAGGTGCTCGTTGCTTGTGATTAAGCGAGGCCTATCGTCCGCTCTATTACTTAATATTCGTAACTCTTTGTCGTCGTTGGTGGGATGTTCCTACAGGCTGTGAAAGATATAGATGAGCGTTAGATTGAACGTTGCTTTCTCATGGCATAAGACTTTATACACGAATGCAAACGAATCATTTACCTGATTTGACTGAGATTGCAACGCATTGCAGTACTATAGCTTGTAATCAATTAATGCCACGATCGGTAATTAGTGTAATCGTACCGCGAAGGCTTTTTCAAAGGTCGGGACTTCAAGCAATGACTATTTTCACGATAGATACGTCAACGTCTTGAACACCATTGAGTTCAAAATGCAGCAGCAAGTTTAGGGTACAAACCATGATCTTGCAAGGAATGCGCTTGTTTATCGATTTGAATTTAACTGCTTTGCCTGTAATTCCATTATAATCTTGTTATTGTTGTGACAAGTCCCTCTCACATCAGTTTGTTATTGCTTGCGTTGCGTGTTGGTGAACGGGTCGCTCGTGGTCGCTAAGCCTATCAAAGTCTTGCACAATCTCTCCTGGCTATTTGAGCAAGAATTACTGTCTTTCTGATTTGCAACGCAGTCTGTGTCTGCTCTCGCATGGGTACACGTAGCTTGCATGCATTGGTTCTTTTTAGAGTGTGTAAGTAGCTGAGAGTGGCCATCGATATGACTAGCCGGACTTCTTCATGGCCAGAAAACAATTCGTGGCTGTATGTCTGAATTCCTTTGCTTTGTCTGACTTTTGACAATAGGCAATCCAACAATCTAGCCGCGCTCGAAATAAGGTTACGTATGCTTATACCAACTCTGTCTTTTTATGATATGCATTCATTTTTGTGCTTTTATGCCTAAACCAATATCTCACGATCACTTTGATGGCAAGTACTCATTGAGCTTGCATGACAATTTTTTTATCATTGGTATCCTCGTGGCGTGAATGGGACGAATGCACATAAACTTCAGTTATCGCACATATACGTAAATAATTGATGGAGCAGTGAAACACAGTTTTAAGGTTGTGAGTACTTAATATTTGCGATCTTAAAATAAAAGTTCATCTGTGCTGCGTACAAATAAAATGAGATCATGAGTTTCATGGTCTCATTTCTCGTGAGGTTGCGTGTCGTACTTTTGGAGCTCGATTTTGTTTTTGAGTGTCGTTTTGTCGATGTTGTGCTGCATCTTGAGTTTCTCCTTCTCGATCTTATACTCGCTTTTAAGTTGCTTCTTGAAGGTCTTGTATCGAATCCTGGCATTTTTTCTCAAGGTCTTGTACAGTTCTTTCACTTCTTCTTCATCAATCTTATCTTGATTCTTGAGTTTCATTCGCACGAGATTGTACTTCTCGCGCAATTGAAGTTTCTTGATCTTGTATAACATTCGGAGTTTCCTTCTCGAGCTCTTGTAGCGTTCCTTTAGCTGCGTACTCTCGAAATCCTGCTCTTCCTCGAGTTGTTCCAGCGGCCACCATGCCTCCTCTTTTTCATGCACATAATGGGACACCTTTTCAGGAAGGTTCCACCACGGGATCTCCTCAATCTCGTCGTCGGACTTCAGCGACGTTGTATCATTAGTTTGCGACAAATGCTCCTTGGTCGCGAAGCCAAGTTGAATACTTGACAACAGCAAGGCAGCAGGCATTAAGATGGCAAGAGTACACTTCATATTTGAAATCACTGGCCACGTAGTATCCACGAATAGACTTGAAAAATGAATCAAAGATGATGTAGAAATTTCATTTTGAAGTTTGCTGCCCTTTAGATATATACGGATGGCGGCTGACCCTCTGCCTGGGTTCAGGAAATCAGTAGGAAGAGAGTAAAACGGCCAGAGAATAAAGCGGGTGCAATATCGCTCGGTATGTGAGCTAATTGCCAGCACTACACATTTACCTCTCATGCGTAGAAAGTAAGCTCCACTCTATGTGCTCATATCAAGTGGAGTGTTTGTCGTCATCACAAGCTCTGATCGACAAATTAGTATCACGATGTCGCAGATATACCCAAGGGTTCACTTGACAGCTAACAAAATGGTCTTGAGTCCTGATCAACAGAGTCAGTCGATTAAAAAGGGTTCATAGAGCCGCTGCGTTAGCCGACTACCTCGACTTCGCAAGGTATCTACAAGCTGTCGCATATATGTGAGCTCTTAGTATGACAAGTATTATTTTTCGTTGAAGTCGGTAATATTGATTTACTGTACTATGGACATCTGATCCCATTAGCGACTATGGTGTGACGCAATATAGCGCTCAGCTGGATGCTTTTTGGAATTACTTTTACTATCGTACTTCCTCAAAAAGACAATTACAGATGTTGCAACAAACTATCTTTCATATACAAAAATGTAATAGGAAGCATACAGTTATGTAATGTATATTCGAACGTAATTGGTACGTACCGTACATGGTGTACGCACATAACACTTTTGTGCACAGGTATCAAAAGTATCAGATTTCTGGTACTAATCAGAAAGATTCTACCTATCATGCAAAAAGTATTATGATGGAACAAAGTTTAATGGGAGCAAGGATTTTAAATGTTATGTATATGATATTTCATGCAGGACTTTTTCATCCTTGATACAGGAGAGAGGAAACGTGATAACTGGATCAACTCTCAGTTCCCCATCCGGGTAAGGCGTACAAATCCACGCACTTTTAATTGTTGACGCGGACTATTTGAGCCAGAGTGCAGCGAGGCTGCCGTAGCTTAGAGCTTGAGGAAACGTAATCTAGATCACCGACCTTTAGTTCTTTACAAAGCGGATCGCAATCCGCTAACTCCGAGAGTAGTTACTACCTTAATCAAGGCTAATAAACAATTCAATTTATATTCAAAACCAGTTTTTATTTATATTTTTATCTGCGGCAGAGCCGCCTGATTTTAAATGTTTATATATTTTCCTAACTATACTTAATATATATAGTAAACTCTAAATTCATGCATAACAAGAGGCTACCTAGCCACATACCGTATTCTTGTTTGGGTGTGGTCACGCCATGCCTTTCTCGTGTGACCAGGGTACGTGTAATCCCGTTACACTCACCCCCATTAAGATTGAGAACATAAACAGTCCCAATCGATTATTGCCTCAACGAGGCTCACGTGTCCGCTAGACACTGCAACTTAATTTGTTGGAATCGAACGACTTCCGTGCTCAATGAGCCCTGTGTCAACGACACTGAAGTCACCAAGTCTCACTGTTCTGACAGCGAACACGGGCAGAGCCCAACTTCGTCTCCCGCACGCGGTGCAATGTT